TGCTGAAGGCATGCAAACCAAAAGGCTGGAGGATGCACAACAAAGTGAACAGCAGGACCCCAAACCAAAGGCAACACGAACAGGTTAACCACCTCTGATGCATCATACAGAAAAGACACAGTATGAGGACTGTGCTTTCAGACAAAGTTTGGTTTGGTTTTCTAGAAATCTCATAAATTACTGTGTTAACTGCACTCACTGCACTCACATGAGCTTGAGGCTACCAGTGAGACTGGGGAACTGAAACCAAGAAAGTGCTTTACTTCCTAAGCAAACTTCTAAGTGCCCCCAGTGCCAAAATCATTGACAGTTCAGGGCAAAGGTCTCCTTTTAAAAGACAACACATGAACACACCAGGAGGGAGCCCAAACATCTCCTTCGCCATGTTGAGGGCCACTGGCAGGGAGTGCTGCCACCAGAGCGGGCAGCACCCCAGCACCCCGAGGTGCCCGGGAGGGCAGAGTTCCCACAGGATGCTCCCACTGCGCGAGGACCCTGCATGGGGCCGCAGGGCAGCGGAGCTGCAGCGGCTGTCCCTCACCCCAGCACCCCGAGGTGCCCGGGAGGGCAGAGTTCCCACAGGATGCTCCCACTGCGCGAGGACCCTGCATGGGGCCGCAGGGCGGCGGAGCTGCAGCGGCTGTCCCTCATCTCCCCTCCAGCCCGAGCAGGCTGCCAGGAAACTGCACACCAAGCTCATCTGCCATGCAGCCCCTGGAAGGTGAGGAGTCTGCAGCATCGCTGCCAGAAAGCAGCACCACGCTGAGGGGCAGAGATGAGATGGATGCCTGAATCTCATGTTTGCTCTGCCAAGCTGGAGAAATCTGAAAATGGGACGTTTAATCTAGATCCTGATCTGGTGCCCCTAAGGCGAAAGGAATCCTCAGCTGCTGGTTCAGACTCCTCTCAGCTCGGCTCAGCACAACATCAGGACGTAAACCCTGCAAAATTACTTAGTTATGAAACAACAATCTCACCCAAAGCCTCCTGACTCAGGTGGTGCTTTAATTTTTGGTTTTGTTCCAATAAAAACAAATTATTGGGACAGAAAATATCCCCTGCAGTGTCTGCAATCAAACCCTGCAATGTTGTGCTAAGGCTCTAGAAGCAGAAAGTGGGGCAGCACTTGCACAGAAACAACAAACAAAGCCGATGGGAAGAATGCAAGAGCACTCGGCTGCACAGGCCATTTAGGCTTATTTTCTGTACTCCGTTTTTGGCTGCAGTGAGCTCCTCTTGTCCCAGCTAAGAACAATGCCAAAAGCAGGCCAGGACTATAAATGGTCAGGAGTAAAAATGAGAATTTTAAAGCGCTTTGCATCTCTGCCAAGTTATCTGTAGCACACACAAAGCTATTTGTTGCCCTGTCTTAATACTCCCAGCCCCAAGTAGGCCCTGATGATTCTGAAACCCAGGACAAGTTCTCACTGATTTCAAGGAGAAGCTCACGCTGGATTTTTTTAAAGAGTCACATATACTTGTGGCTATCTTCCTCACTGATGTCCTGGTAACCTCTCAGGAGCTGCTTAATTGTGCAAGTAAAAAATACATCAAATCTGTAAACAGAGAAATACACAAATCCCCAATAACAAGGATTCCTGTACCTCTTCAGTTTAACTGGAAAAGTCAGAAGTGCCCCTTCCGAAGGGAAGGAGGCAGTGGGACGATTTTTTCCTGTGGGAGGGGAACACTCCCTCCCCGTTCCCTCCCAACCAGCTTGCTTTCCCCACCGGTCAAGCCCAGCAGCCCTCAGCAGGGCAGGCAGAGCGGATCTCTGGGGATCCGCGTGTGGGGGAGCCGAGGAGGCAGAGGGACAGTCAGGGACAGGACTGAGGCCTCCTGAGCTACAGCACAGGGGGCACAGCAGGCTTTTTCATGCCATAAAGCAAAAGAGCTGTTCAGAATCTTCCTCCTTGGAGTTCACTGAACTGCTGTGATTCGGCATAAGTGGCAATAACGACACAATTGCTGCTGCTTACAGATGAGCACACAGTCGTGACTGCAAAGCCAGCTGCCGCAGCTCTGCTCTACCGGTGCCAATCAAGGCCTATTCAAGTCCCACCAGACTCGCTTCTTCACACGCATCAGTCAGCAGAACCTAGAAGGGTTCTTTTTTGTTTTGTTTTTGTTTCTGCGGGAATGGGAGGGGAGGAATTGTCGCAACTCCTCTCAGCCCTCTTGCTTCAGCTGCACCACACAGCTGTGCTGTTAAGCAAGACAGACTGCAATAGTATTGCAGCAGTTGAGCCAGTACTGTATCATTATCCCCATCCAGGTCACTGTCCAACTGGTTGCATCATGGAACTTTTTAATCACAGTCTAGCTCACAGATAAAGGAGGCTCTAAAAATACAGCTTTAACTGCTAAACAACGGGGTACTTCTAATGTTCACATCAGGTAATTAAACTTTTCAACAGTTTTTCTATAAAGCTCTCTGCTTTGGAGCAAACAAAACATATTTTGTAGCATGTTCAACTCCAGAGAAAATTCACCGTGCACACGCACTCCCTTCTGCCTGCAGACGGCTGAACCACGCACACTCGGCTGAACTGCGCACACTGCTGGGTACGACAGCAAACAATCAAAACACACATGGGCAGACAGCACCCGGACTCTGTGACCTGGACTCTGGCATCTCTCTTTCTCCAAGTCCACCCCTGTTCGACTTTGACCTTCCTTGCAATATGTAGGCTCACACCTTTCAAAAAACAAAAAAAAACCCGAGGCAGACCCCAACAGAGTGGCATTTCTTTGTACTGTTCAGTTGGCTTCAAGAACTGTACGCTCCTTGAGAGCTGGGCCCTCACCCTCATTTCTGTAATCAGCTTCCTACCTTTTGCCCTCACTTCAGTAACTAAGTACAAGTCATGACTGCTACACTGCACTTAGTCACCCAAACTCAACAGGAAAGCAGCTCACACAGGGCATGGGGTTGACAACATCTTCCCAGACTGCTAGCTGAAGAACTCTGTTTTTTTTTTTTTCCTGTTTGGTTTTGTTTTGCCTTTTTCCAGTTCAGTTTTACCCAGATATTGACCACTCATGAAACACATAGGGCAAACACCTTACAGTGTCAAAACTACTAGACAACTGCACACCTTCCTGTAATTCTGGAAACTAAGCTATATGTAAAATACCTCTGAAGTAATTAAAACCAGAGACAGCTCTTACTTTACAACCATATTGCAGGGCTAGCTTGTTAAGATTATCGTCCTCTGTAATCTCTCGTTCCAGAAGTACCACATCTCCAACTCTGTCCCGAGAAGTGCTGCACCGCTGCTGCTCCTTGCCCCTCGGTCGCAATTCCATAACGTTGAGCTCCTCCTCTGACGACTCTTCTGAATCAGATCGGCCATTGGGAAACACGTACACTTGCCTGCCGGGGTAAGCATGGATGGTGACAGGAGCCTGGAAGGATCTTGTCCCGCTCTCATTCAGCCTCATCTTTTATACCAGCACCTGGAACAAAAACCAGACATTCTGAATTTCCTTAACATCAGTGCTTAATTCTTAGCATGCAAGATTTGGGAGAAAGGACAACAAGCGCAGTAGTTGCGTGTGTGCACACACACAAAGCTTTCCTTCTGCCCAGATTTTCTCAGGGGCAAACCCAAAAGACGCCATTCTAACAGCAAAGACAGAAATACTAGAAAGGCTAGGTACACAAACTTCAACAATGTGTGGATTATTTTCAAACCTTTTTTTGTCTACCTGTGGACAAACCACTACGTAACTCTACTTTGCTACACATCTTAAATAATACTTCCTATAATTTCATAAAAAAAGCATCAGAGCCACTTGAGCCAACTGTCTTTAATTACGGTAAAAAAAAAATCCACAGAACCACCACATCAGACCTCCTACCAACACACACTAAAAACTGACCAAAATTATCCCTTGTGCCACCTTTCCAGAAGTCCTTAATTCTCTACACTTTAAGAATCCATATTTTAATTTCATGGAAGTGCATTTTTTTTTTTTTTTTTTTTAAATACGGACAGCTCAAGCTACACTTAACTTTAGCCTGAACGATGAGGTCATTCTGTGGTATAAAGACAAGAACCTGCCTGAGCACTTTGTTTTAATCCTTGCTAGGCCTACAGCAGCAAGTCATCAGGAACCTGCTTTGGTTTGGGTTTTTTTTCCCCTTCAGTCCTCAGCTCCACAGTTTGTTGTCGGGGCAGGTGCAGGTAAGAAAACCCCACACTCTCACAGAACCCCGCTGACCTTAACACTGTACCCATAAGGGACCCCCGTGGTGACCCCGCTACCACTCTGCGGGGTTTCATTAGCAGACAGCCTGCAGGCAGGCTCACAGCTCTGC